GGGGAAGAAGGGGCAGATCCGGGAAACGGGGGGGGCGGGGGCGGGGGGCAAGTAGCAGCTCAGCCTGGATTTGGAGGGAGAAGGCGGCTGTAATTGTGCCAGAGAGCAAATCCAGTTCCTCCTCCACCTCCGCCGCGGCAAGGCACGGATCCATGTCGACGGAGGCATCCGTGAAAGTGCGGGGGGGGGGGGGGGGGGGGGGAAGGCGGCGCGCCCAGCCCGTGCCCCCCCAGCCGGGACTCAGGCGGAGAGCTGCAGCTTGCAGAGCCCGTCGGCGTACTGGAACTGGGTGCCATTCTCGTACTCGTACATGTCCAGCGCCACCTCACAGCTCTCCCGCACCACCCGCTCCTCGTCACAGGCGAAGGCGCGCAGGGTCTCCAGGCAGGAGGGGTGGGCGATGGAGCCCAAGGCCTCGGCACACTCGTGGCGCACCATGGGGCTCTCGGTGCGGCTGCGCAGTGCGGCTGTCAGCTGCGGGACGCAGGCCTCATCCTGCATCTGGCCCAGCACGTAGCCGATCTCGTGGCGGAAGAGGGCACTGCCGGAGCACAGTCCTGCAGGGAGGAGGTGAGAGTGAGCCGCCACTGCCCCCAGAGTGCACCGGGATGCTTGGCCAGAGCCCCCCCCAGAGAAGCTGGGGGAAGCCATGGGGAAAGCTTAGGGGTTAGAGCTGGCGGTCGCCGCCCCAGACCCGTGGGGGCTTTTGGGGAAGGGGACAAAATACCTACGGGAAGGGCTGTCCCACCCTCCTCCCTGACCCCGCACAGCCGGGACAGCTCCGGCACCGCACGCCCGCAGCCGTGCCCCGGCAGCGTAGGGATGCCCTCTCGTGACAGCAGCACCCACCCTCCTGGCAGAGCTGCCAGCACCCTCACCTGCCCCGGGGAGCCTGCGCTGCCCACGGGCCCTGCCCCACCAGTGCGATGTGCCTGGGGCGGACTGGCAGCACAGTCACAGCCTCAAGCCCCCCCGTGCTACAGGACTGAACAGCCGTAGCAGGAGCTCACAGATCCCTGCACGCCTCGTCTCACGGCGCAGACTTGCCCTTGGCTCATCCCAGATGGCTGGAGAGCCTCGTCCACTTCCCTTGGGCTGGGGGGTGGGTCCAAACAGTTTCTGGGCTCTGGTCTGCCCCTTCCCCACTCAGGAGACATTCACTCCCCTCTCCAGAGCTATTCCCAAACCCCAGGATGAGGCTGGCAGCCTTCGACTTTCCAGGACAGGAGAGCAGGACCCCGACACCCTGGGGCCAGGTCCCACCAGGTCAGACCGGTTGGTCCCAAGCCAGCATTACAGACTGTGTCCTCTCCCACCCGGACCCACGGAGAAAGGGGGCCTGGAGGACAGCGAGGGGGCTGTGAAACATCAGAGAGCACCGAGCGCTTTGTGATGCGGCTCTTGCAAGCAAGCAGGGGGACAGCAGCTCTAGAAACAAACGCGTGAAGAGCCTAAGAGGAGCCCCGCAGCTCTGACAGCCCTGGGTTTGGGAAGGGCCAATCCCGGATTAACCTGTACAGACTTACAGCGAGGAGACTGCAGGGAGCCTCGTGCTGGCCCTTACCGTCTGCCAGCGCCAGCACGGCAGTCTGGCCCCCCAGGTTTCGCAGGGCAAACATAGCCCTGTAGCGGTCAAACAGCGTGCATGACTCATCCAGGAGGGTTTCGCGGAGTTTGGCGACGTCCGTCTCCTCGGCAGGGGGAACAGGATCCACAGAGAGGTAGGGGCTGGCAGCAGGCTCCTGCTTGTTCTCCTGCAGCCACTCCAGCCTCCTCACTGCCAGCTGACACGTCTCCGCCACCTGCGGGGACGGGGACACAGCCGTGGCTGCAGGACGGCACCGTACAGCACTGGGAGGGCGCCCAGGGCTTCCCTACGGCAGCTAGGTGCCAGCACACAGCAGGATGCCGCTCGTGGTGTCCCTGTCCACAGCCAGGGGCTGCCCAGGAGAGACCTGCCTCACCCTCCTGGACCAGCAGCGCTGCACCCCAGGGGAAACGACCCTCCCCAAGAGCCTCACCTCAACCACGGGATCCTCTGAATAGCGTTTCAGGATATCCAGCACATCGGGATTCCCGATAGCACCCAGGGCTTCACCTGAAGGAAGGACGCGTCAGGACGTTATCAAGCTGTCTACATGAGGAGGACCCTGCAGTGTTCTCCAGCGAAGCCTCGCCCCACTCTGAAGTGGGGACACAGGCCTGACTCTGACCAACCCCAAGTGAGACAGCCAGGCAAATAAACACGGCAGGAGCCAGCCTGGCCAGAAGGAAGGGGAAGGCTCGGCCAACCAGTCCTGCCAGGGGATGTGGTGAGGCGGTTACATGCCTCAGGGTTTTCCAAGCCATGACACCCAAGCTGGATCAGGCCGTCACGAGCTGTTCGGTATGGGGGGGAAGCACCCGCAAGTCCCCTGCACCCACAGCCGCAGGAGCTGCCATCGTACCTGCCTCGTGCCTGACCATGGGCTCCTGGCCGGTGTCCTCCAGCACCCGGATGAGCACGGGGATGGCCGCTTCGTCCTGCATCTGGCCCAGGCAGTAGGCCAGCTCGTGCTTCAGCAGCGCGGAGCCATCCCCGAAGGCCCGGCTGATCCAGTCCACAGCCGCGCGGCCGCCCAGGTTGCGCAGGGTGAAGAGGGCCCGAAACCGGGCGGGCAGCGGCTGGGCCGCGTCCACCAGCGTCCGGCCGAAGGCCTCCACCTCCTCCTCTGTCACCATGGCGCCGGGGGAGGCGGGGAGGGCAGGATCCGGTCGCACGCAAGGCCTCTGGTGGGTCTCCCTCCGGTCACACTCCTGCGCACGGGGAAG